TCGAGCAAACTCCTCCTGTTTGAGGGCCGATTTAGAAGCGACGAACGGAGTGGGGCTCTGTGCCAGATGCGCCACGCTGCTCATCGTGGCCTGGCTACAAACAACGCCGCTCGTTTGGGCCTCCGCGCCATGTCCCCCTCTCTCGTGAAGGCGGCTGTTTGGCTGTGGAACTCTGAGCTCGCGTCTCTGTGGTGCGGTTTTCTTCTAATTGCCGATTTTTTTTATATGTTGCACAAAAAATAGTCACCCGAAGCAGATCCCTGGGCACAACAACGCAGTGCCAAGACCCGAGAACACAACAACAACAACCACCGCAGCTTGCCACTAAGTGGCGGTGACCTCGTCACCATGTGGTGCTCGTGCCAGGCTAGGTGCACTTTGAGGCCAAGCGAAATGTCGAAGGCTGGCTGGCAGGAGGTCACGGAACAGACCCGGGTGGTATTGTCGAGACCACACAGTGCACCTGCGAACACCAACGCAGTGGACACGTTCTGAAAAGAACCGAATTGTGGGTCCCTCGGTTTTTATTTTTTGTCCCAGCAAATGTGATGGAGGTCTGGACAACTGTAGACCGGTGGCATCTGCATCAGGACTCGCCAGCGCTAGTTTGGAAGAACACGCAATTGTACGCCTTGAGAAAAAACGAAGACAATCCCTGGGGTTGATCTTGAAAGGAAGATCACGGTCCACCCCAAACTGCATTCACTACACAAACCATGGCAGGAGATCTGGCTGCCTGACGAATGTAAGTAAAAAAAACTCCAGCAGTGTGCGACTGTGGTCATCCAGAACAGACCGCATACAACGACGCAATGGCCCATCCACAAATACGAAGGCAGCGTCACGGCGATGATCCAGTCCGCTGCTCCTGACGCGGTTATATCTGGGCTTGACCAGCTGAATGTGACTTTGCAGTTGCTCTGCATCTACATCAGCAAGCGTGCGACGGTAGAAGAAGCGCAGTACAAGTCACCGATGCTTGGTATCCCCACTTGCAGGGCCCATTCAGCTAGGTAGGGGTCTGCAACCAACACAACAAGAAGATACATTTATCTCGAGTTCTGTAAAACAAAGCAAAAACCCCTCCAACATTTCAAGAGCCGCAATGCATTGTGGTGGTGAATGCGAGAGACGGTGGTGGTGGTCCTGAAGTAACGCCACGAAGCAGCGGTCCTTAAAGAGCCGCACGCGACTCCGGAGCCGCAGGTCGCCAACCGCCTGAGCTGCGCTAATGCCAACAAAGTAGTACAATAAGTTCCGTTTGTACAGCGCTTTTCATCAAGAATCTCGAAGCGCCGCACAGGACACAAGCAACAGCAGACACTCGTCATAAAAATAATGAATAGGTTTTAAGACTCATTTGCAAACTGTCCACAGACTCTGAGAAATCCTTGATGCCTCATGGACGAGCGTTCCATCGCCTGGGGGCCACACGGGGAAACATCTCGGTCACCCATAGACCGAAGCGTCGACCTGGAAATGCAGAGAAAATATCTGCATCCCCCCCCCCCCCCCTAGATCTCTTGGGGGCATTGAGGGAACATATGGGTGCAACATGTCAATGGATGTCGGCTGGGGCAATAACATCTCACCGAATAAACGCTCGAGAGAATCCCATCGTCAACCGCCGCCGTCGTGCCAGAAGACTTCGCGGCGCGGGCCGGAAAACCGCCACTCTCGACGAACCGCAGCGACACGTGTGCGCAAAGCGACCGGCCTTTGTGTATTGTGCAAAAAAGATCCGTCGCGCAGTTCTGCACGGGGAAGGCCGACGTGTGCTTCGTGTACACGTGTCTCTGCGGTTCGCCGAAACCCGTGGTATCGTTTCTTTTCTTCCGGGCTGGCGATGCGAAGTCTTCTGGTACGATGGCGCTGTGGTGATGTTGGGGTTTCTCTCGACCGTTGATGTTCTCAACGGATTCCCCCCCCCCCACCTCCTAAATTGTTATCCCTCCCAGCAGTGGATCACAACGCCCTCGTATCCCAGTTGCAGGGCAAAGGTGCAGCCCTGTAGCTGCGCCGCTCGCTCGCGTCAACTGCTGGCAGAAGGACCCTTCGCTAAGAGGGAGCTCTCTCTCGAGTGGTGTTTGGTCTCCTCTTCCCACGCTGATCTGGGGCGTCTTGGAAGGGGAGAAGTGTTCCCACCGCCCAGGACCCACCTGAGCAAGCCATGGCGTCACAACCCCCTCTCTGCCATTTGCTGCTCGCCACATCGGCCACGGTCCATTCACTGCTCGATGAAGGCCTCCCCAAGCCACCGGTCGCCTCTCCCCCGATCCTTGCGATTGAAGTTGATTTTTTTTCTTTCAAGCTTCGTGCCGACCACCTTTGCCCCTTTTTTTTCGTTGCTCCATCTCCCAGAGGAACGTCGGCTCTCCAGACGCCTCGGTGCCCAGCGCCCGCCGTGCAAATAACACGCCGGGCCTCTCAAAATATTGACGGGCGCCTTTTCGTTGTTGTTGTAACTTATAAAAAGCATTGCTGATCGTGGCGGGATGCCAGCACGCTTCGCGTTCTCAAACGGAGGCTCGTTAATACTTTGGGCGGGTTTTGGGTTTTCATGATGTGGTGAGGGCGATTGGATTTGGACGTGGAGCCATTTGGGCACGCTTGTGAGCTTTGTTCCTTGTAGCTCCACAACGGCACGGATTGTTGTCGCGTTGTGTCGCGGCGTCGATGTAATTGTGCGTCGAACTACGACCCCCCCCCCTCCCACACCGCCACATTCGGTGGCAGTGATAACGCCGCGCGTGCGTGTGGCCTTGGACGGTGCAATGGGCACCACGGTGGCTAGGAGGTGTCAACTACCTCGCCTGGTACACAGGAGGTCGTGGGTTCGATCCCGGCCGCGACGCCTGCTAGATATTTGGAGGCTGCGTCTCTCTCTCACCGTGGTCACGTGGATTTTTTTCTCTCCAGGTTCTCCAGTTTCTTTCCCTGCCACGTTCAGAATCAACATCACGTGTTTGAGAATATTTGGCTGCTATACATTTCCACACGTGGTAAGCCACTTCGTTGAGCTATGATTTGTGATAACCAGCTCGCTGCTGATAAAGCGTTTTTTTACCTGGTAAAATAAAAAAACTGTTTAAAATGTATAACGGGCAACGTTTCAGGCACTGTGCCTTTTCTTCCTATCATGTAGAGGCCAGAGAATGATGTAATAATAATAAGAGTTGGAGACTGCACTGTGCTCCGTGGGTAAACAATTGGCACTTCACCTGCTATTGGGGTTCTTATTTTGAGATTTTCTACCGATTTTAAATGCTGACTTTGCCACGTTTGGAAGGAACCCGGAGCAACTGGAGAAAACCCCACGCCTTGCGCGAGGGGGGGGGGGCAACGCTCGATCCCCGTACAGATGGGAAACGGACGGAGATGAGTCCACGCTTTGGTGCACCGCCTGCTACCTGGCGCCACGGGGGTTGGCCCCTCCTTGACACCCACGGGAAGACGTGGGGAGGGTCACAAGCTCCGCGCGTGTGTGCGTGTGTGTGTGCGTGTGTGCGTGTGCGTGCGTGTGTGTGCGTGCGTGTGTGTGCGTGTGTGTGTGCGTGTGTGTGCGTGTGTGTGCGTGCGCGTGTGTGCGCGTGTGTGTGTGCGTGAGCCACCAACCCTCGCTGCTGCTTCCAGGGTAGAATTTGCCGGCAGCCACGTGTAGCAGCGGAGCCACTGCCACGTGATCCCGCCATCGCGCATGAATGTCACGAGTGTTGGAGACTCGTGCGATCAGCTCGTTATTGGGAGTCTGGTTTAATCGCAGATGGTGGCAGAGACACCTCGACTCAAACCCAGAGTGTTTGCCTTGGGGGCCTTGAACCATTGCCGCTGGGATGATGCCGTGACAAGGAAGCTGTGTGACTGGTGGGATTTGTGATTTTTGTTGTTGTTGGTATTTTAATGTAGAGGGCCAGATGAGTGAATGAGTGGCTGGGGGGGAGGGGTGTAGATGGCCTGGCTGCTTTGCGTTGGGACTGGGACCGTGGCCACGGGGTGGTGTTGGTGGGACCGCCGCCACTGGCTCGTTGATCACGCGCCGCTCTCTTTGATGTTAAATCTGTGAACGTGGAACCCAAACACGGAGATGGCCCGAGGACGGAGTTTGTGCGGCAAGATCTCTGTACAGTACGATGCGATTTTTAACCAAAGACACAGAGCTTCCCGTGTAGCCCCAACGGAGCGTTGGGGCGAGCGCTGTTAGGCAGCAGCGCCTCGTGAAGGCCGGCACGGACCGGTTCAGATAATCGTCGCCAGGAGTTGGCCGCGAGCGGGAATTGAACTCGGGTGGCCGGGTCCGCAGCGTGGCGCGTGAACCTCGACACCGCCGCTCCCCGCTTTGTGATGAGACGCACGGACGAGCGGGAACGCAGCCGCAGCCTATAGCATCTGGGTTGCGCGCGACCGTGGGGACCGCGAGCCCAAGCGCGAGATTGGCCGCGTCCCCCCCCTCGTCTCGGCCCCCCCTCCTGCCCGGGTGCTCCGGGGAGCGGTGGCGCAGCGGTTGGCGCGGCGATTCTCGGGCACGGCCGGCGCTGGGTGGGGAATTCACCTGAACTGGTTCCTGGGCCCTCCCCTCCCCTCCCCTAGGTCGACTCGGCATTCACAACGAGCGCCTGGGCACGGTGTGTCCCAACAGCCTGTGCAGGCTGCACGGGGGATCTTTGTCTTTGTTTAAAATCTTACGCTGTTGACGGAAACTGTCGCGGCAGATTTGTCCAGTTTCAATCGGAATCCACCCCCACTGAGATTTAAACTGTTTGTCAAGACAACCACACCTCTACCCACCCACCCACTCCTACCTACCCACCCACCCGCTCCTCTACCCACCCACCCGCTCCTCTACCCACCCACCTACTCACGTACCCACAGACTAATCGGTGCTTGGCTGCAACAATCGGGACAACCCGCACAACAACTTCAACAACCTCATCGCCCCCTCCACCCCAATCACAGTCGCCTTTGTCTCTCTCTTTCTCTCTGTGTCGTCTCTGTGCGTGCAGCCTTCAACATGTCGGTGTCCAACCTGGAGAAGGTGATGCAGGACTTGATCTCGGTGTTCCACCAGTACGCCGGCAAGGAGGGCAACAAGTACACGCTGAGCAAGCGCGAGCTCAAGGACCTGGTGTCTAACGAGCTGGGCGGCTTCCTCAAGGTGCCGCCCCCCCTTCCCCTCGCTCCCCCCCCCCTCCCCCTTCCCCTCGCTCGCCTATCGCACGACTTTTTCCGTAGAATTCCGGGTCACCTGGTGTCTGGCAGGATCTGAATGGTGGAGGGTGGTGGTGGTGGTGAGGATGGTGGTAGAGGGTGAGGTGATGATGGTGGGTGAGGGATCCAGGCCACTCTTGCTAATGAGGCTCCGCGTGGTCTCTCCGAGTTCTCGCCTGGATACAACGGACTCGACTTGAGACGCGATCGTGGTGACGGTGGTGGCGAGGTGGGAGGGATGGTCGCGCGGTGTTGGGATTAAGGGATGAGGAGGTGACGATGATGCTGATGATGACCGGGACCGATGAAGCCGACGGATGGCCTAATGGTGGCGTGGCCAGGCGGCGGGGCCAGGCCCTCATGCCCGCGTGAGCGTGTCTGGGCGAGCGTTGTTTGACCCCGCGTGGTGTGCGTCTGCCCGCCCGCCGTGTGCGTCGCAGGGCAAGAAGGACCCCACCACCGTGGACAAGCTGCTCAAGGACCTGGACGCGGACGGCGACGGGGAGCTGGACTTCTCCGAGTTCGCCGCCATGGTGGCCTCCTTCACCATCGCGTGCAACGTCTACTTTGAGGACTACCTCAAGACCCAGGCCGCTGCCAAGTGATGTGGCCTGACAACTGGGAGGGGTTGCTCCCCCACCTCTTCTCTCTCCCCCCCCCCCCACCCCCGCACCTCTTCTCTCCCCACCTCGTCTCGTACGGTTTGACCGGTGCGCCGCGCATTTTTAAGAAAGCAGCGTAGTAAAACTCGTTGAGTGCGGAGAAGCCGAGTTGAAAATAAAATCCGCGAAACTGGCA